GAATGTTACTGAAAATGAAAACACACTAAAATGTAATTGGAGAACACTGCTTTAGAAAACCTTTTTTTCAGAGACACATATTCCTTAACTATTTTTCCCATTCACTTCATATAATCTTTACTAATTCATATCAAAGTGTGTGTTTACTTCTTAAAGTAGTGCATCCACTACTTGGACCCATTTATTTATATTTTAAGATTAGTTTTGGGGCTAGTGTTCTTCCTCTGGTTCTCGTGACCGTTTCCGGGAATTCAGTGAATCTCCTGTTTGCAACGAACATTCAGTGGCAACAGCATCTCTAAATCCCTGAGGCTGAAAAATGAAGAAACATACAAACATGTTTTAAGAACATTTAAAATAAATATTGGTCTCTTTTTTTTTTTTTTTGGGCGGTACTGAGTTTTGAATTCAGAGCCTCACACTTGCCAGGCAGGCACTCTACCACTTGAGCCACTCCACCAGTTCCAAGATTGATCTTATAAATATGTGTATTTTTTTGGGTGGTACTGGGTGGCCTTATAAGTACTTTTAAGGAACTACTTTGTTCTTGAAATAGAATTTATCAACCACTGTGAACAGAGGATAAACCTTATAGATAGTCTAAGCCAGTGCTATACTAAAGAGTTTTTAATATATACTTATTTACCTACAGAAATAAATATATATAAATAAATATACTTATAAAAATAAATATACTTATTTACACATACAGAAATAAGATTGCATTATAAAAATGTTCCCTAAGAAGAATACTAACAAACTTTAATGGTAGCTCTATTAGAGGAGGTGAAAGGAACTAGTTTACACTAACTTTTAGGTACTTTGTAAATTTATTTTCACAATTAAATACTCTAAGAAAGTCTTCCACTGAGCATGGTAATACACGCCTGTAACCCCAGCACTTGGAAGGGTAAAGTGGAAGAATCTCAAATTTGAGGTCAGCCTGGGATAGATAATAAGATCCTGATTCAAGAAGCAAAAACAAACAAAAATAAGTAAGATCATGTTTCAAAATTAAATAAAATTTTTAAAAATAAAATAAAGTTTACCAACTAGGCTACTTCAAATGTACCTGGCTAGGCTGGGTGTGGTGATACACTTCTGTAATTCCAGCATTCTGGAGGCAGAGGCAGGAGATTGAGAATTTGAGCCAGCCTGGGCTACACACTAAAACTCTGTCTCAAAAAATAAAACCAGCCAGGTGAAGTTGTTCACGCCTGCGATTCTAGCTACTTGGGAGGCAGAGATCAGGAGGATCACAGTTTGAAGCCAGCTGGGCAAATAGTTCTTGAGATCCTATCTCAAAAATACCCAACATGTACGTATGTGCACAAACACACACACAAAGGGCTGGCAGAGTGGCTCAAGTAGTAGAGTGCCTGCCTAGCAAGTGTGAGGCCCTGAATTCAAACCCCAATACCTCCAAAAAATAAAAACAAAAACAAAAGGCAGGTGCTGGTGGCTCACGCCATTCCTAGCTACTCAGCAGAAGAGATCAGGAGGATCAAGGTTTAAAGCCAGCCTGGGCAAACAGTTCTGAGACCCTATCTCGAAAAAACCCATCACACAAAAGAGCTAGTGGAGTGACTCAAGGTGTAGGCCCTGAGTTTAAACCCCAGTACCACAAAAAAAAAAAAAAAATAGATTGCACCTGGGCAGTGCAAAAACTAAGTGGATAATTCAGTTGCAGAATCACTTTTCAAATCTGTTTTTGTCCTTAAAAAAATAAGATGCCATGATATACTTGGCTCTACACCATTGATAAGTGTAGAGCATATTTCAGCCAAAAATATGTGTTCTATGATATAAATCCACAGGAAAATTAACATTTTTAAGTGCGTTATATTTGGTGACTACAACAGACCTTAATATCTACAAGTCCAAAAAGAGTAAGGTATTTCTTTTCAGAAAAGCTCAAATAACTTTCACTTTAAAAATCTTTAATATCCTGATGTTACCTATGCCATGGAACATGCTACTCCAAAATAAGTATTTCCTCTGTTCTGAAGAATAAAGTTCAGTTTAATTATGACTACAGTATTCTCTATATACTACTATTTTGGGCATGTTCTAAGAATCAAAATCTGTCCTCAAATATGCTTCCTGCCCACAGAAATCAACAGAAGCAATTTTCAAATGATCTCTCAGATAATTACTGCCCACCAACACAAAAATCCCACTCTAATCAAGTAATACTGACTGTGATTTGAAATAATACTGTGGATTCCTTCTGGCTTGGGGACTTGTACAATGTTGCCAACCTGCATGAAGAAAAATAATACACACAAACATATAACCTTAATTAGTTCAGACTGATTTTGTAATTTAAATTTATAGGTTTTTTTTTTTTACTATAATTCTATTATTTTGTTCTTAAGGACCCAGAAAGGAAAGAAATACAGAAAATACTTCCCTTGCTGGGCATAGTGGTAGAAGCCCACAGTCCTAGCTACTTGGGAGGCTGAGGCAGGATCCCTTGAACCCAGGAGTTCAAGGTCTGCCTGGACAACATAGCAAATCTGCCTCTTTAAAACAACAACAAAAACTCCTCAAACAATACACACACACACACACGCATGCATGTAATAACAACAGGGTTCAATACACTGTCTCTTTCTCTTTTTTTTTTTTGTGGTACCGGAGCTTGAATTCAGGGCCTTCACCTTGATCCACTCCACCAGCCCTGTTTGTGTGA